GTAACAACAAATGAAAGATTTTGAACGTTAATAACTCAGCTGCCCCTGGACTAATTTCAATAATTTTATCACCAATCGATCAGATATATTTCTAACCATCTGTTAAATTTAAGACTTTATCATTTTTTTTAATGTCACTATTGAAAATTGCATGAATGTGCAACTGTTGCTTTGAAAATTAAAATTATCACTGATTACCTGCGAAAAGCGATTTTCCTTACACAGATTTCAAAGTTGAATTCCATCCGGTCTCACCAAACGGTGTTTATTCAATCACCGCGTGGTGAGTGGTGGTGTTCTTAAGTACACAACAAAAGGCTACCTGCAAGCTGCGAGCTGCAGCCCACATGAGCATCCATAGAAGGAAGAAGAAGCCGCACAACTATTGATCGGAATCAGTAGCTCTTCGTGAGTCGCTGTGGGCCATCTATGTCAAGTGCGTCATACTAAAGAGTGTAAACAGAGAGAACCCCGCTCAAATTCCTATTCCTACACAAAACACAAGCTCCTGCTGCAGTTAACAAATAAGATTTATTATATAAGACCACGTAGTCCTACGTCACCATTGCGTACAACCCCATAGGGCTGCCCCTTGTAGTTTTTATGAAACTGAAGTATGATTATTCCTTTCAAATTTGTTCTTACTTACTTAAAAGTCCTGTACACCACCGGAAGTGCAAAGGGCCAACGTGAAAGACTTCCATCCTGGGCGGCTGCTCGCTTGTGCCTTGACCTGGGCCCAGGTCAGATTCTTATCGACTTGCTTTATTTCCTTGTTGAGGCTCCGCCGTCATGAGCCCCTGGGTCTGCCTCTGCTGCGATGTCCTGCTGGATTCCAATGCAGCGCTTGCTTGCAGATTTCGTTTCCTCCACTTTCGCTCTCGAATTTCTGTTGCTATCGGCTTCTGATGACATCGACGATGGAGCTCGGCATTCGAGATCCAGTTGTGACGCCACCAGGCACGAATTATATACCGTAGGCATCGGTTGATGAAGACCTGCTGCTTCTGACCGTTCTCCGTTGATTCACACCACGTCTCGGTGGCGTATAACAGCACAGATTTCACGTTCGAGTTGAAAATTCGGATTTTAGTGCGTTGACTTATCTGGTTTGATCGACATACGTTTCGTAAACTCGCAAAGGCAGCCCTAGCCTTTTTAATTTGTGCACCTATGTCGCTCTTGGTTCCGACGTCCGACGCTATTTGGCTGTCAATATATTGGAAACTTTCGACCTTCTCCACTGCTTGCCCCGCTACCGTAAAGTTGGAAGGGTTGCCCGTGTTGACATCCAACGATTTGGTTTTGTTGACGTTGATGGTGAGACCCGCCGCAGAGGAGCGTTCGGCTAGGTCATTGAGCTTACTCTGCATATTAGAGCGCCGTTGTGTTAGTAGAGCAACATCATCAGCCAAATCGAAGTCGTTGTTCTGAGCAGTGCTGATAAAAATTATTTCACCTACACTCAACTTAGCTGAACATGAAGACAACCTTAACAGATAGACCAACTACCTGCATGAATTTGAATTTTGAGATAACAACATACTCTGGATCAAGGCAACCTTCCGGGTTTTAGTATTTCGTTTCCATTTCGAAATCAAAATAATCATGCAATTTTATTCAAAATTATCATGGAATTCTACTGAAATTAACCAGAAAACACTCCGCATAATAATTACCGTTACATTCTTTTTGGAATTTCCTTGGAATCCCTTCTAAGAATTTGATTGGAATCCTTCTTAGAATTCCTTTGAACCTATTCGGAGACTTTGATTCCGTTGAAATCCATTTCATAATTTTCTTTTAACTCTATTCAAAGCATCAGAAATCTTTATAAATTTTATTTAGAAACCTCTCGGAGTATTTTAAAGAATTTCTTTTTAATTACCAGCATTTTTTCGCCATCAATGTTGTTGGAGCTCTGTGCTGAATCTTTCGCACTTGGGATCCTAAATTGTTATTTGTGCAAAATAAAGAAAAGCTTGTTAACAAGAAACTTAAAAATATGACCAAAAGTTGATGTCCTACAGTTTTTATTCGGTTGAAGTGATGTTTAGTGATACAATTTATTGAAAAATATCAAAGACGCCATTTTCTAGAAAATACAAAATGGTCGTTTTTTTATAAAAATGTGAATGATTGCCCATAATTCATAATTATTCACAGTTTCATGCAAATTTGAGAAGGTCGAGTCTAATTTTTTTAATTTTTTATCCTATTTGGCATGGAATTGGTTTAATGGCATTTGGGGCAAACAGATCATTCGCGGTAATGGAATTTGGGGTAATGCGTTATTAGAGGTAACGGAAGTCATAGAGCTCAAATTTAGTTACACACATATGCAAAAGCCGCTAAAAGCGATATTATAATCCTTCTGTGAAAAGGGTGTAAAAGATAACCATGATGCTGGGAAATTAGGTTGAAGTCTATTAGGCCAAATCAAGAACAACATGTGAAAAGGGCATACAAGCTTTTGTAAACAATCTTTCTTATGCCCTTTTCTCGCCACCCATATGATCCCAACGCAAACTATCAACATCACCGGGTAGGGGAAACTTTTCCCTTCTCGATGATGTTGTTGTTTTGCGTGAGCGATCCTTGGTTGGCGAGGAAATAACCTACAAAGGTTTGTGTACAAAAAAACTTGTATGCCCTTTTCACATGTGGCTCTTGAAATGTCCAATAGGTCGAATGGTCATTAAGTGGAATTTTGGAAAATTATTTATGAACACTTGCGACGAACATTTGCTGTTCTGAAAAAGAAAATAACGAACAAATGGTATACAGCTACACCTCGATATAACGTAACTGTCACTTTTGTCTTCCATCGTCAATATCTCGCAAATAACAATTCAATCATACATTACCAATAAATGGGGGATTATCTCATCAGTCCGATGGTGATATTACTTTGCTTGTTTGAATGATAATTTGTGGGAAATTGACAATGGAAGTCAAAAGTGAAAGTCACGTCATATCGAGGTATACCTGTAATGATAAATTGGGCTCTTCCAAAGCGCCAATAATTATCCCGTCTCATGCCTGGAAGAAGAAGATAAGAAAACTGCTATAGCCAAAATAAGCTATCAGACAGTCAAATAGATTGTCGTGAGTAAAAAAAAATCAGCTTTTTAAAGAATGAGATATAATATAATTCGACAGTGAGCATTCATAATTGCGTAAACGCGATGATCGATTCTCTCCGTCGATTTTGTTAACAACTCGCTAAAACTAACGTTTCACGGTACGTTTGCTGTTGCTTTTGATAGCCAATACAACCTGCTACAACTCTGCGTTGAACAAATTCTAGAAAATTGTTGCGCTTAGCTGTAGTAATTCAAAGAAAAAATCGATGAAGAGAATCGTTTATCGCGTATACGCCCTTATGCATGCTCACTGTCGAAATGCATATTATTTTCATGATGCCAGTAATTCTTGAAAGAACTGCTCATGTTTGAAAGAAAGAAACAGTCCGAACAGCCTGAAAAAATATTTAAGTGTTTAAAACCTTAAAAACATAACTGTGTAAGGAAGCTCGTTGAAATTTATGTTGGTCTGGGTATGCTGGAAATCATTCGACTGGTCGGCCAAATTGCCAGACACCGTGGTTATCAGACAAAAATACACAGAACTAAATATTTTTGGGATTCTCTCTGGTATTTACTTTAAATTGTGTCTGTATTACTCTGTAGACCACTCTTGTAAGTATTCTATCCATTTAGCTGATGTTCGCGAAAATTTGTTTAGTTTGTCTTTAAAATTCCCTCAGAATATTCCTCAGATTTTCCTACGAATTCACCTCAGAATTTTGCTTTTCGTTGGAATTTTGCGCAGAATTATTTTATAATGCTCTTCAGAATTCTCTAAGATATTTCCTTGAAATTTTCCACAGCATTCGCTTAGTATTCACCCTTGGAATTTTTTTTCGGAATTTCCTTGAAATCGTTGTAATTATATGTCTGAAATCTCATAATAAAATCTCATTGAATTGTTGGGTTAAATTCTTCACTGGGGTTCTTATAGAAATTTCTAGAAATTCACTGCAGAACTCATTTCTTTCCCTCGGAAATATTATCAGAAATTATGTTGGATCTGTTTTAAGTATTCGTTATTCTGTTAGAATTATTTTTGGAATGCACTTTCAACTCTCCTCTGAGTTCTTATGAATTCTTCTCAAAGTTTCTTTGTAATTTTCCTAAAAGGTACCGCTGAATTCTCTTCAGAGTTTCTTTTGAATTGTAATCATTATTTATTTTCATTTATCATTAGAATCCGTAAGGAATTCTCCTAAAAATGCCCAAGATATTCTCCTCATAATTATGGTGTAATTTTACTAACAAGTAAAAATCACGACAGTGCACCCAAATTTTATTTTTTATTTTTTTTTTCAGATTTAGCATTTTCATAACAGGAGAAATGGCCCTAATGTTGGCCTATGGATCTAAGATTGGGCCCATCACTAAAAATCTACTATTTATCAATTTTATCTAGATGAACGCGTCATTGGGACGGTACTAATGGATATTTTAGGTCGTTATTGAAAATTTAGTCGATTGCTGAATTTATGTATGGGCCCAAATTAGGGGCATTCAGGCCGACATTACATCCATTTCCCCTATGACGATATTAAAAATACGGGTTTTGCAAAATCAGATATCGATATATTTGCTGAGAAGGGTCTAATACCCTAATAAAAAATAACCATAAACGAACGATAACCCAAATCATTGAACTATTCCACAAATGGTTTGGATGATACCCAGAACACGTCGTTAAGCAAATTAACCATACAATTTTTATTAGGGTATTCTTTTGATACTCTAAAATAAGATAAGTATGCAATACATTTTATTATATTAAGTTATTAAAATTTATAGACAACTTGAAAAAAAAAATCGGAAACATTATTTTTTTAATAAAAATAACAAAAAAAACTTTAAATATCATCTATGGAGACTACACTACCCATAAATGCAGAACAGTCCAATTTTAATAGGAAATCAAGCAAAGATGTGACTGTTATGCTTTTATGTATAGAGACAACAATATTTAAATTTATGAAAGAATACAAACAAGTAGTATACGCCTAGAAAGCAATAATAATAATAGTTACCATAAAATACAATAAGAAGAAGAGAGATAGGATCAATTGTTGATACGATTTATTTACAACCGTGCCTGAGCAGTATTGTTGCTTAAATTATTCTACATCTTCCCACCCATCTCAATTATTAGATGACAAGGTTTATGATCTATGCCATGAGTTTCGGCAACTTTTGGATCTTACAATTCTTGTACGAAATTGCAACCATTTTGTCACTTCTTACCTTGCCTTTTAATGTATTCCGAGTACAATGCCTCCCCCGCCTGCATATGCAGACCTGTCGAGAACTGTGGTGAGAAACCGTTGCACTAGTTCACATGACCAAAACCTGGTAGGCACTTCTAGAGCCGTGCACTTTGCGCGTATGTCGCCATTCCGCCCTTTCATTCTGACAAATCAGCAGCATCAACAGCAAACAGCGGAGTAGCACGAGGAAGTCATAGCATGCAAGGTTACGCCGGGACAAAATATATAAGTAAACACAACTGTAGGCGGATATTTCTTTAACTTAATTTTAATTGTGAGAAAATCGCAAGCGTTAATGGTTTTTTTTTTGCTCTAGCCATTGTTCGTTTTCGGTCAATGGACGGTTTTCCTTACTGCCGCCGAGTGGAACTTTGAGCTGCTGACTGTTGTTGGTGGTCGGTTGGTAAACATACGTCCGTCCGTTGCGTCGTCGCTTGATTCTATTCTCATTCTATAGAATTGCGCGATTTGTTTAGAATTGTTAACGGCGGAAGCCGGCAATCGGTGTTCCGAAATGTACATGAAATGAGAGGCATGCGCTGTCGATACCACTCACTCCGGAAGATGCGGGATTTTATGTGCACAGAAGTCGATGGCTACGATACTTCCGGTGGATTAATTACTTTGGTTGGGTAAACAAAACTAGAAATCGTTATTCGGCTGATTGTTTTCCGGTTTTCAGGGATATGGCCGAAGCACGTCCTGTTCGCAGTCGATGTCAGCAAGCTCGATTCTTGGAAACGGGACAGTCGTGCTTTGTCACAACATCGACACGCAGTTTGCAGGCTTGGCACTCTGACTGTTAATATGGTTTATAAACACTCATGATGCGTCATGCAATATAATGGTCTTAGTACAAATCACTAAAATTCAAATCTCATTACTAAAACTTTAAAAAGATTTCTTGACTGATCGGTACCTTCCATTTTGAATAATTAAAATTTTCAATCTTAAGATTAAATCTATAAATGAAAATATCTTAAAATTGAATTCTATAACACTGTGCAACACGACTATCAGGTTAGGATTTTTTTTACCATATTTGATATTCTTATGATAGGCTTTAGTTAAGGTGAATCACTATGGAAACCTTATTTCATATTACTTCCAATATCACCTCCACATTTCCAGAGCACAAATATCAGCTCTCATAAAAAATACAATAATGAAACTGTAATTGCAGGGCTACAACAGGCGCGGATTTCGCAAATTTCGCGGATTTCGCGATTTTCGCGGATTTGAACTTTCAGTCGTGAAAATCGCGGAAACATTAAATGATGTCGCAAAAATCGCGAAGGGACTGATGTGCTGTCACATTGTGGATTCCTTGTATCCGTCCCGGACAATTTGGCTGTCATTAATTTTGTTGTTCATTTGGCTCTCAATTTTTTACCGGTTCAAACCATTTTCACGGAAATTCCCTGAGGTCTGTCCAATGTGAGACATTTTCCTTTTTTTCCAACATGAACATAGCATTTTTCGTTGTCAAATCATAAACGAATCGTATATATGCTAGTAATTGTCATGTATACCGGATATTCTAAGGTTCTACAAATCGTCCTGGAGTTCAGTTGATTTGTTCTACTAGATCAACCAAGGCTGCAATAATGTCTGTAGTATCGAAATATGTCCAAACAGATTCAAAGTGTCTATGTGGATTGTAACCGACCTATTGCTAGGTATACATGATGTTATAGGTTCGGAAATCCTTCCGGAGATCAGATTATTTTTCTACTTGAATAATTCAATTTCTGTAGTATCGAAATATGCCCAAACAAATTTGCAGTGTCTATGTGGATCATGGCAACCTATTTCCGTGTATGCGAAATGTTCAAAGATTTCCAAATCGATATTTCGATACTACAGATATTATCCAGGCTTTGTTGATCTAGTAAAACAAATCATCTGAACTGCAGGACGATTTGGAGAACCTAGATCATCTGGTATACGTGGAAATAATTAAACATTATCCATATAGACACTATGAATCTGTTTGGACATATTTTGATACTACAGACTTTATCCCAGTCATGGTTGATCTAGTAGAATAAATCATCTGAACTCCAGAACGATTTCTTCTTCTTCTTCTTCTTATTCACATTTCAAGCTGATTGATTATTGCATATTAGCTTATTGCGTGCTCTCACTTAGTGTTCTACTAAATGTACTTCCACAGTTATTAATTGAGAGCTTTCGATGCCAATACCAATGCATGAATTCGTATATTGTGTGGCAAGGCAAGCACAATGATACTCTACGCCCAGGGAAGTCGAGAAAAGATTCCCTCGATCGGACCGGGAATCGAACATGCCGCCTCCGGCTTGGTAATACCGTGCCTTTACAGATTAGGCTATGAGGCCCAGAACGATTTGGAGAACTTAAAACATCTGGTATACATTACAATATTTCATACATGATCCACATAGACACAGTGCATCTGTATAGAAATATTTCGATACTAAAGACATTGTCCCAATTCCCAATATCGGTTGATCGGTTGGACAATTTGAAGAAGCTTGAACATCTGGATTACTCGGAAACAGATCATGCATGATCCACATAGACACATTGAATCTGATTGGATATCGATACTACAGACATTATTGCAGTCTTGTTTGATCTAGTAGAACAAATCAACTGATGTTCTGGAGGATTTGGAAACCCTATAATTTCCGGTATACATAGTAATAAGTCGTGCATGATCCACAAAGTCACATATATTCGATTCGGTTATGATTTGACAACGAAAAGTGCTAGGTTCATATTAGAAATAAAAAAATATCATGAAAATGTCTCACCATTGGACAGACCCCAAGAATATCCGTGTAAATACACAATCGCGACGTGACCAACAAGCGTGACTTATGAAACTCTGGTAATCATTCGATTATGTGCAGGGTGTTTGGTTTGAATCGGTAAAAATTGAGAAAACTAGAGACAAATTAACTACCTACAACATTTAGGACAGCAAAATACGTAAAGGTTAATTTTCAAGAAAATTTGCATTTCAAATGAAAATGCATTATTATTTTTTAAATAATGTTTCATCAAATCTAGGCCGGTATTATTTAATAGAATTTCATAATGTAAGGGTGTTTTATTATGTTCACTGATTAAGTTAAGTTAAATTTTCTTTATTATGGAGGCTTTTAGCCTGAGGCTGGTTCGCCTCCGTGTTCACTAATTACTCAGAACTTATACTATAACTGAAGATGATACAATGTTATTAAAAACATTCAAAGGTTACAAACGATTCAGTCGGTAAAGGCACAGCTACAAAGCAAGTCCATGCTGGAGGCGACTGAGTTCGATTCCCGTCCGGTCTATTAATTTTTCGGGTTGGGAAATTTCTCTACTTCCTTGGGCATAGGATGGTACAGGCATAGAAATCTCTCAATTAAAATGTGAAAGTACTTCAAAGAACATTAAGTTGAGAGCAGGTAAAAATCTAATATGCTATAAGCAATAAGCTTAAAATGCCATGTAGTAGTATAAAATGCTATTTTTAGGCAATGAAAACAGTTTTTTTTTGTCGTGGATTAGTATTTGAAGTCGCGGATTTCTTTTGAGAACTCGTGGATTTCGCGGATCAAATTTAGAAAATCTTGTAACAGCCCTGTAATTGATCGTTTGCTGCAGTCCAGCATACAGGGAGCTCCAATTTCATGAACAGTGTGAATTACCTTAAAGTCTAGAATATACTTTTGTCCTAGCACGTCTTGTTTTTTAGGTATCGCCACTTTATGAGGCTGTACCGCCCTAAAAGCGTGTGTGAAATCAGCGAGTTTTCCAGTCGTAGGAGCTGTGCGTTCTAAAAGCGGTATAACTATTAAAACCCAAATTGATCCACCGGGCAGGTGAATAGAACCTTTGTTACCCAGTATAATCTCGTTTTTGATATTATCCAGACATATACGAGGCATTAATAGATTTATTTTATTAGTCTCAGTTTCTGCACTGCTCAATTGCTGCATACAAAACAGTAATTGCTAGTTTGAATTGGAGTCCAAATCATCAGAGCTTTATGACTTTATACTTAATCTGTTTTATTGTGCTCTACATACTTTAAGAACAAACTTATTATTGATGAATCTACGTTACGGTCGGCCAGTAGATGGAAATGATGTGAAAATGATAATGACGTTTTGCTAGCTGTCAAATCGTATGGAATATTTTTTAGTACATTATCACTTTTGTGGTTTTGGATTTCAAACCTAGGTGTCGCATTGCGTAAATTCATCAATATACAATCTTATTATATTGCAATAATATTTGGCGAACCAATAAAGTTAAATAATCAATCAGCCCGATTCTCTTCATCGGGCTATCGCGAATAACCCGACTGCAAATGAATTTCCCATTACGTGTGTTGATTCAGGTGCAACCTAACTATAGTCGCTATATTTATAGTCTGGCGGATAGAATTTCGATCTATCAAAAAGCGGAACAAACTCAATATATTGTAGACCAAAAATTGAAAACATACTATCAAGTTTTATAAACAAAACGTTGATTATGCTTTCCTCGCCAATCGAACACGCATCATCGGATAGGGGAAATTTTCTCAAAGATGGTGTTAGTTTGCGTAGGCGTGCCTTAAGTCACGAGAAAACGGGTTCCGAATGTTTTGTTCGCATTAGCTGATGTGCTGTTGGTCGTGATTTGACAGTTCAATTGGTCAAACAGCTATTTGACAGCTCAATTGGTTCCCGAGATTCTCTTCGCCAGGCTATGAATATAGCGACTATTAAGCTAACATCATCTTCTGTCGAACTTCTTGTGAGCTTAGCGAGAAATTAGAGGCCGAGGATAGGCCCTTTTCAAATGTTCCGTGAGAATACAGAATAAAATTCGAAAAAATGTGGCACCATTGCCTGCGGCACCCCCAACTGCTACGCCAGCCGGACTGGTCGGTCAGAATTTCCAGGTTTGTTTCACGATGTAGCAGTTCCAATAGCGATTTTTTAAAATGAGTGTGATTTATAGACCAAGGCTTAAAGCGCCAGTTACACTATCCTCCTTGTGAATATATTGACATGTGTAACGTCCACTTTAGATGTATAGAGCTTTTTGGTGTTACAATCTAGTTTCCTCTATATTGTTTAGCCCTACTTCTAATGGAAATGAGTAGATCTTACTTCATGTTTTTTCCAGTTTTTTCGCGCTTTTTCAAGAAAAAAATGCCAGAATGTCATAACACCAACAATTGGATTTTCTAGGTCTATTGGT